GTGCCTACAGTGTCCTTCATCGCACTTAATCTCTCCCTCCTGAGCTACTCAGAATGAGCACTCTAAGTGGCCTTATTAAAATTGACTCCTGCACAAAATACTGGGAAAACTTAATTGGCTTCCCAGGCGAGTCTGTTTGTGATTACACTCGATATGAATGCTGAGCATATTAGCCTAAGTCAAAAAAATAAATGAAGAAAGGTATTATGGTCATCATAAAACATAACGAGAACAGGGCAAAGCATCATGCTACACATTATGTCTTGGCTCTACCAGCAAGACGTACGGCAAGGAGCAATAATGTAGTGCCCGGTAAAAAAAAATACCGTTGTTATGCATTCAAATTAAACAGAGGACAAAGCTCCCAATCTTTGCTCTGCACCCACCCAATAAAAACTCAAGCTTGGAAACAATTAAACAGGCCTATAAATCCAGAGGCCTGGAGAACTAAATGGAGACCTAAATCAGAAAAGGCACAAAGACAGAATAGAAAGCACACTCATTAACCAAATCCACAGTGTCTTCCTGGGTGCTTCTAAGAAGGCACTGATAAGACTTTATAAGACTCCAGATTAATCCTTCAGATGGTTGAAATGATAACAATAAGTGATAACACTGTTATCGTTTCATAATGAAAAATCTGAAATCCAGTGGATAAGGAAGCCATTTTGACAAGGCCATTTGAGGAGTTTTAAGATGAAYTCATTGTGTTCATCTGCCAGATTATGGGTAATAAGCAAATGCTATGTTTTTGAGGAAAGGAAACCTGAAACTACTTCTTATCCAGGATGCTTCCATCCACAGCTCATTCTCCTTTTCCCCCACGGAGTCTCTATATTTTCTTTTTCTTTTTTTATGCAAGGGAGAGAGCAGGATTCTGGCTCTAATTACTATCCACCTGGATGCTCCAACTGACGGTTGCCCAGGCTGAAGACCAGAACAGGAAACACCTCTCAAGGTGCACGTTAGCCAAGCAACAGTCTACTCCTGCATTAAGTAAGTGGGTTTTCCTTTATGTGCAACATAGAATAAGTCTCTCACCCTTGARAATTGCTAGGAACATATTTGTGAATTCACTGTTCTTAGTCCAATTGTGTGTCTAGTTCTAAAGCTGACCTTGAATTCTTTCCTATTCTCTGTTTTTGGAAATACTTATGGATAAACACCTATTGGACATAGGAGATGCCAATACAGAATGCATAAACTTCAAAAATACTATCAGATTCCCTCATATTTTCAAAACCTAATTTGTTTATTGATTTTCCAAAGCATTTGCTCAATCTGGAGGACCATATTGTGAATATAAAAGTTCATTTTTTTTACCATTATGAGGCATTCTTTTGATGTGCTGACAGGATCTATTAATCAACCACAATCAACTGCACACTAAAATTTTTAAATATAATTTCTAATGCTTGCCTGAGAAAAGTATTAAAACTGTAAAATCAAGTCCATTTCAGAAAAAAAAAAAAAACACATTGCAGATTATTTTTTGGGGGGTATTGTCTTTAAGAGAATTTTTTCATACATATGATTTATTATGTTGTAAATAATAAAACATTTATATTATAAAAATTTCAGAAACTACAGTACACTATTTTCACATATTTTGTTTTATATAATGCATCTTCAAACAAAAAATGTATTATGTCTTGGCTCTACCAGCAAGACRTATGGCAAGGAGCAATAATGTAGTGCCCGGTAAAAAAAATACCGGTGCACTATGGTGCACACCTGCAAGCCCAGCAGCTCAGGAGGCTGAGGTAGAAGGATCGTGAATTCAAAGCCAGCCTCAGTGAAAGCGAAGTACGAAGTAACCCAGTGAGACCTGTCTCTAAATAAAATACAAMATAGAGCTGGGGATKTGGCTCCGTGGTCTAGTGCCTGAGTTCAATCCCAGTATCAAAAACAAAAACCAAAAGAAGTATTGGGAATGGCAATGTTGGTGTTGCGTGTCGTATATTTTGTCATAATATAAAATCTTTACATGATATTTAACTACAAAATTTGTGGTTGTCTCATCATGTCTCTAGATATCGAGTTCTTTGTTGTGAGACATTTTTATTGCAAATAGCATTTCACACTCCTCATTCCAATGGCTTAGAAACACAAATGCCATCAGCCACTACTCTGTCCCGGCAGCCTTCATAACGGGTATAACATGACCTTGAGAAAGCAGAACCCACCCGCCTGCCCTCCACTCCAAGCCAGTGTTTCCTCTCACTCTTCCTTCACACCCTGTGCTTACCTTCTCCCTTTAGAAACTGTCAGCCAGTACCCAGATCTGTGTGTCTAGATGTCTCCCTTTCTCCTTCAGGTCTAAATTTAGATGTCACCTCCTCAAAGCTGTCTTTCCTTATGGCCCAATCAAATYAGGTCTCTGCAGGAAAACAGCATCCAGGGTAGAGATGCCGCTCCAGAACACCTGGACCATKGTTCTGCAGCCTCACTCACTAATGCTGAGTTGGTACAACGTTTGCCAACATTCCCTGTAGAGGACATTCAGTGAAGGCTGGGCTAAGTTTCTGAGGAACATTCATGTACGCCCCATGCATTAAAGGGCAGTTCATCATGAGGCAAGATTTTACCTTTTTTTTCCTTAATTCTGGAAGGATCTTACTTTCATAAAAGGGTCACAGCAGCTGCAGGTGATACAGGGGAAACCAAGCCAGGATGAGCAGCAGCTGCTCCAACTCAGGAGAACACCCCATTACTATTAAGCTTTGTGCCCTTAGTTAAAAATAAAGGGGGGGGGGGTCATGGGAGCTTGGCTTCTTCCAGTTCATCCAGGACATGACTAAAATGCTGCAGCCTCTCCTGTTCTGTGCATCAGTATTTTCCTTCCTATAGCCCACACGTGTAGTGCTATACACTTATAAATTGAGGTTACGTATAACTGCATACCAGAATAATTGCTTGTTTTCTGTATCTGCTCCTGTTGGGTGCATTCTGTGAGGTTAGGCATAGTGAAATGGTTTCCTCACCACTGCTCCAGCAGTGTGCCTGATACACGGGAGGCGTGAAATCAACTTCTGACTCAATCCGGGTTGAGGAAGGTGAAACAGGATGCTCTCTCACTATCAATGGCACCAGCTCCCTTGCAGTGGTTTGCCCCACATTTGAGACAGTCAGGGACCCTCCATCATCTGGCAGAGTCAACCAATGGCCCTGTCCTGCCCACCTGAGCAGCTGGCGTAGAACCAAAGATGTAAGGGGCCTCGGAGACATTCCCCGTTAAACTCATTCCTAAGATGTTTGACTGAGTTGCTTCCTGGGGTCCTTCTCTATGTTGGGTCTCCAAGATTTGCACATCTAGGCCAAGAGCTATATATCACAAAATTATATGAATTGTACATTTTCCAATTATTTAACCAAAATAACCATTTTTAAAGCTTATTTCTAGATCCTTGATGGCAGTTACCCCCCTTTCTAATAAAGAGTTCAACTCAGGCATTTATTAACAATCTTTTATTAATTTGTATCTTGCTCACGTTTTCATTATTTGCTGTTAAAAACAAAATGATTGGTTTATCACAATTCACACGAATCAACTAATACACTAATCCATACCAAAGGAAGCTGTTTAAATGAGAACAGTGTCACCCAAAAAAAGCAGATGTCATATCAACTACTCAAGCCTAAATCTCATCATAATTAGCATAAAATAATGRGATTGGTCACAGACCACAGCCTAATGAAGGGGACCAGAGCCTGTCTCCTGGCAGGCCCACCTCCATGAAACCTGTTATCACAGAGAAACATGCAGTTAGCASATCTAGAGCTAACCAAATATCTGAAAACCACAATTCTAACTTAATACTGACCAATTTTTCTAGACAATAGTTTATAGATGAAGCAGTTCATAATTTGCAACAAATTTAAAGTAAAATGAATGAAAAAAATCTTTACATAATGTTTTTCCTACTTAATAAAAGCCCTTGTGAAATACCMACAGACTGTAAAACATTTATCTTTTTCCTATATTTTCTTCTAATTATTATATTTTTTCAAGTCAATTGTTTTCTTAATTGTGCCATCTCACCTGACTTTATTTTTCCATGTTATTGCCTGATTTTTGCTACAGTTATAATAATAGTGTGTGTRCTACATATTTTGTGACCTATATCTTTCACTTAATCGTGTGTTTGCCATCTCCACATTATGAAATTTTCAATAAAGCATAGCTTTACTATCRAGTATTTAGGGCACTCCAATTTTTTTCTGTTGTTAAATATAACTCTATAAGTCATTTGCTTTCAGTTGTTTAAATTGTTTCCTTGATGGAGAGAAAATAAGAATCAAAGAATGTGAACATGTTAATGGTTCATTCTCTGTTTATTTTATAAAATGGTTGGGTCAATTTACATGGCTCTAGAAATTCCAGAGTGTGTCAGTTTTACAGACACCACACTGTGATTCTCTTTCAACTATTTTTTTTTTTAGTTATGAGACATCAATTAGTTACTAATTACTAATTATAAATGGGTTTAAACATTCTTTCGCATGTTTATTTTATAGGTTTACATGAATAATCTATTGACATTCTTAACCCATTCTATTTCCTTCCATTTTCAAAAGTCCTTTTTAATTAGCTGCTTAAAGTCCTGAAAATAAATCTCTTAACCTGACCCCAATGTAAACAGCAATAGAAGCAAAATCTGYAAAAACTTACTGTGCTACCTTAGAGAACCTGAATACCTTCTGCTTAATATAGTGGATTAATCTAGTGTAGATCTGAGGGCCAATTTCATTAGGAGGTTGTAGATTTTGCTTTTAAATGACTAAAAAAAAATTAGACAAATACAGAGTTTGGTCACTAACAATGAAAAGGTAAATGTACCTAAATGTACCAATGAATAGGCAAATTAACCTAAAYATCCAAGGAGTGGGGGGAGGCTATGCATCCATTAATGGCAGGAGAAACCTGATTCATACACTGTCCAGCGTTTCAGGGAATAAAAGTAAGGATGATKTGCGTTTTACATCAGGACACTCCCAGATTACTTGACGTCACAGAGCAGGGCGACTCCTCGGAGTACCCAGTGTTCCGGRGCCTGGGCAGTCCTGAGATCCACCGCTGCAATGTAGTTTAAATCTGTTCGAACTGGCTTCTTGTAGATGGGGCAGGAGTAAAACCGAGGATCTCTTACACCTACAAAACGTTTGTAAGAGAAAGGAACTTGGTGAATTTCTGATCTGAGCATCTCAGAGAGTTGCAGCATGCACACTGAAGGGCATTCCAAAGAGAGATGGGTTTGATAGGATGGGGGAAATTCCTCCAGTGGTCATACAACTCTGGTTTGTGAAGCAGATTCTGTCACCCTGGGTGTGGCAAGACATCCAGCCAAGCTTAGATGGACCCTGCTGGTTCCCTGCCTCATGACCTTGTCAGTAACCCCTGCCCACGTGGGTCCTCTCATTTCCCCCTGCCAAGTCAACAGTACCCTCCACGCATTCTCTTTGACCTCCACACCAAATCTTGTGCGCACACTACTCAGACATCCAGTATCAGTGAACAACACTTCACCATCATTATTATTTAAAAATATCTTCTTCAACCATCTGTACCATAGTCCACATCACGTTTAAACCACTAGACAGGTGTGCCCTGGCCAAATCGGGTATTGTGGAATCCCTTTATACGTAGAGAGAAATGGGACAGTCCAGCTCCCAGAGATTTGATTCTCCCTTTGGGAAGTAAAAGAATAAATAGTTTCTAAAATTATGCATGAAATGAAGACAATCCATGGATGTCCATCCTTCAAAGATCTTCTYGAATGCATTTGTGCCTAACCATGGATTTTTTTTCTGTCCAGCCTTGGAAACACCATRTTCAGGGACAGATTTGGTCTGTGGTGCGTTAACTTGCATAATTCATGCAGGTCCACTTTAAGAAAAACAGGGGGAAAAAATCACAAATACGAAATGGGGCTTTGGAAGAAAACTTCTGCCTGTGAGCAGTCTGGAGGTTTAAGCTTATAGCTTCTGGTAAAACAAGAACACTCTGCCCCAGGTCTTTTATCTGTACACTCTCCTATCATCCATCTCAGGAAGTAGATTATTTTATGTTCTCTTCCAGATTATAAATTATTTTAGGACAAAAGTTGTGTCTGCACTCATCCTCCCATACCTGTGGAAAGCCGATGCAACATTATAAAGGTTTCTCTTGTAATTATTGAGGTGAAGTCATGTCTGACCAGGGGAATAACTCAGCTCTGGTGAATTAGTATAACAAACACAGGCACTAAAACATGGAAACAGTAACCGTAAATGCACTGTTGGTATGTCGGAGTCACTGAATTTTCTTCCCAGAATTAATTTGCTGAATAATTTATCTTTTTTGTAACAAATGAAAAAAGCAAAGCAATCAGAATTTAAAGCCTTATTATTTGACCCAATAAAATCTTCAACCTGTTACACCATGTGTTTTTAATCACCCACTATAAATTAAGTCACTTATTAGAAGTTAAAATATTTGAGCATAATAATATTATACATAAATTTCAATATAAAATAAATATTTTAAAACAGTGATTCTACCCTCAGAGGAAGTCTGCCAATATCTAGAGACATTTTTGGTTATCATAACCATGGGCTTGTTACATGCATCTAATGGGTAGAAGTAGACACGTTACTGACACCTTATAACAAACAGGATAGCTCCCCATAGCAGGCAGTTATCCAGACCAAAATATTCATACTAACAAGACTGAGAAACTGCTCTAAAACAAGAAAATCATAGATTTTTTTAGTATTTTAAAAGTGTGCTTACTGAATCCCATAAAATTAATCATTAGAAACAACCTAAAATAATATAAAACCTAATTCTGAAGTTTAGTCTTATTTTTTCAATTACTATGAGGATATCACTGGTAATCCTAACTAGATAAACATACATATGTATAAATATAATTTTCTGATCAAGCAAATGAATGCCAGTGAAGCATGGAATGCTAATTATATTGATACATTTAAATCCTTTAATCCTAGGATCTATAAATATGCAATAAACATATAACTAATTGTTCTTCTTGCTGCAAACTTGATTAACAACCATTTCATAAATCTTGAAGTAAGCCATCAGAGTCGTAAGGATAATTCCAATAATTATGCCTTGTGAAATATTTGGCTACTTGGACTCTAATCCCAAAAGAAACTTGGAATTGTTTTTAAAAATTCTTTGTAATAAATAGATTTWAAAAAGGTATTTCTCTAAAATATGTGTCCAATTTTATTTATTTTTAATTGTTTCAGACCTAAAGGTGTCCATGCCAACTCACAGCATGCAGAAAACTTCTGCACCAGGATTAGAAGTCACTGGAAAAATAATTCCAGAGTGAAAATGCTGACAGACGCTAAACACCCARGTGAGCAGGTGATCTGCAGCCATTTCCCTGCTTAACAAATAACTCTGAAGATAAAAATAAGCATGCTAGCAAGGTAGAACAAATCAGTACATATGTTCCAGGCCTTAGGGTTCCAGAAAGAGACACGGAGAGATGGAGATGTGAAAACTGGTGAGCTCTACACTTAGCATCCTAAAGGCTTCYGTAAAACACCTTGAGAGAATTTCATTTTCTGACTACCTAAGTTCTTTACCAACCCTAAATCTTTATCCACACAGTAATGGGCATTGCATATATTCCTGCCCATGGCCCAGGTGAACAAGTTACACAGAGTCTCTGGATAACCTTGGAATCGTTCCCTTAGTTAACCTCCCTTTTGTTAATAACATTTAAATGACTAGGCAGTTCACTCTTCAGCATGGTATTTCTTTTAATCCTTTAAAAATCACATCATTTGGCACACACTSCTGCCGCAGATGCCACTGCCRTGCCTGGAGGTTTCTTCTCTGGGCACTGCCTTGGTTGCCTCGGTTACCTACAATGACAATACCTCTGTGGTCCCTGCCAGTGAATCGAAAAATCTGTCAATCAACTGCTGCATGCACCACTACCGCCATTACTGCCACCTTKGATTCCGATGCTGGCAGCCTGAGGTTGCCTGGAGGTCTTCTTTCTGAGGGCTACTGCCACAGAAGATGCCCTGAATGCAACCAAAGCTGACACTGCTGCTGACCCCCAGAGATCACTTGGTGWTGCTGCCCCCACAGCTGCAGTTGCAACTGCCGCTACAGCTAACCCTGCTGCTGACCCACTGCCTGCTGCCAACAACCACCGACTATCACTGCTACCATGGCCTGGAAGACTGCTTTGGGGGGATTCCAGGTTTGGTTGCATGTGACTGCACCTATTTTGGGTCACCAGCCATGGCCTGGTGCCCCGGTGCCAGCAAGCTTACCACCACATCCTGTGTGGGGGTTTGGAGGAGCCTGGGGTCTTCCTGCTGAGAGTGCTGCTGGCCCTTGTCTTGCTGCTACATCCCCGGGTTGCTCCTTTGCATGAGTGTACCCCTAGTGGTCTCTCTGCAATAGAAGCAGCCTTGATATCTAGTTTCAGATTTGAAGATGAAATTAAAACCTTCCATGATAAACAAAAACTGAAGGGATTCACAGTTAGAAAGCCTACACTACAGAGCATTCTCAACAAGATATTCCATGAGGATGAAGTGAAAGGAAAAAAAAAAGTGAAAACCAGAAAAGGGACATTCAACCAAATGAGAAAGTAAGACAAATCAAAAACCAGAAGTAAATCAAAATGACAGGGAATACAAATCATATCTCAATAATAACCTTGAATGTTAATGGCCTAGACTCATCAATCAAAAGACATAGATTGGCAGATTGGATTAAAAAGCAAGACTCAACAATACTCTGTCTTCCAGAGACTCATCTCATGGGCAAAGACACATCCACAGGCTGAAGGTGAAAGGATGGGAATAAAATTATCACTCATATGGATTGTGTAAACAAGCAGGGATTTCCATCCTCATCTCAGATAAAGTAGACTTCAACCCAAAGTTAACCAGAAGATATAAAGAAGGACATTTCATACTTTGTAAGGTAAGTATATATCAGTATTTCTATTTTATTGGAGTATTAATTTTATGATGTAACAATTATAAATATTTATGCCCCAAACAATGGAGCATCTGTGTACATCAAACAGACCCTTCTCAATTTCAAGAGTCAAATAGACCCCAACACAATAACACTGGGTGACTTTAACACACCTCTCTCACTACTGGACAGATCTTCCAAACACAAACTAAATAAGGAAACTATAGATCTAAATAATGCAATCAATAATTTAGACTTAATATACATATATAGACTATGTCATCCATCAATGAGCAAATATACTTTTTTCTTAGCAGCACATGGTTCCTTCTCTAAAACAGACCATATCTTATGCCACAAAGCAACTCTTAGTAAATACAAAAAAAAAAAAAAATAGAGATAATACTGTCAGACCACAATGGAATAAAATTAGAAATCAACAATAAAATAAAAATAGAAGTTACTGTAATAAATGGAGACTAAATAATATACAATTGAATGACAAATTGATAGTAGAAGAAATCAAGGATGCATTAAAAGAATAAAAAGTCACCAAATAAATGACCTAACACTACATCAAAGTCCTAGAAAAAGAAGAACAAATCAACACCAAAAGCAGTAGAAGACAGGGAATAATTAAAATCAGAGCTGAAATAAATGAAATCAAAACAAAAGAAACAATTAAAAATTGACAAAAAAAATTGGTTGTTTGAAAAAAAAATAAATAGATAGATAAACCCCTGGCCATGCTAACTAACCAAGGAAAAAGAGAGAAAACTCAAATTACTAAAATACAAGATTCAGAAGGAAATATCACAATGGACACATCTGAAATACAGAGGATAATTAGAAACTATTTTGAAAATTAATACTCCAATAAAATAGAAAATAATGAATATATCAACAAATTTGTAGAGACATATGACCTACCCAAACTAAATGAGGAGGTCATACATGATTTAAACAGATAATTTCAAGTAATGGAATAGAAAATGCCATCAAAACCTACCAACCAAGAAAAGCACAGGAACAGCTATATTCTCTGCAGAGTTCTACAAGATTCTCAAAGAAGAATTAACACCAATACTCCTCAAGGTATTCCATGAAATAGAAAAGGGGAGAACCCTTCCGAACTCATTCTATCAGGCTAACATCACACCGATACCAAAATCAGACAAAGACACATCAAGGAA